ATGCTAGCTTTTGTGTTTGTTTTGTATAAAAATTAAAATGGCCAACTTTCTTAAGATAATATCTGGTTTGAATGGGCAATGGGGCCCCTTCACATGATAGCTGAATTGATCATGTGGCAAAAATAAAGGGTACATGCTGTTAGGAAAAAGGTGCCTCTCTTAAGAATCTTCAAAGCAAGATGGTAGGTTCCACAATAACCTGACATTTGTATAGTTTTCTGTGCTTGGTAGTTTATAACTAAGAAAGTCATAAAATCAACCCTGCTGTACTCAAAATAAATTATTGGCCAGTTAATTGGCTACAATATTTTTACAAGCAGATTTGCCAAACTGCATAGTACAGCAAAGGACCGAAAGAGTCTTAGTTGCAAATAATTACGTTAAATTAAAAAGATATCATAACTTTGAGACATTATACCGTGAAAGCTAATAACATCTATATATTTTAAATTAATAAGATGTTATTAATTAATATATTTTTATACTTTCTAAAATAAAAATGAAAATGACAGAATATCCAGATATGATGTTAGCCTTGAAATCAATGTATTTTTGATAGCTTTCTACCTTGAAGGAAGAGTAGTATGCCTCCTCCTGAAAAAGCCATGTCTTATCTGGTCATGCTTGATTTTTTTCTAGCTGGTATCCAACTCTCCTTTTGTGAAAGACATGAAAAGTAATTCTCACATGGTCCAAAGAAGCAACCTATATCTTTACTGTCTACTCCAAATATTATGTCTTTGATGTTTACCTAGATTGGGTGCAGAAAGGACATTACTGTAGAAATTTGAACATTGATCAATAGAATTTGCATTTACTATCCATGAGTTGCTGGGATTGTTTTGTGATGCTTTCTTAGTTTTTCAATAGCAAATTGCTTATCGTGGGTTTCTGGATTCCTGTGTGCTTCTATACTCATCTCAAATCCAGCCTGCAGGAAGAAGATGATGGATGGTTTGGGAGAAGGTGGTGGGATTGCACTAGGGTCCCAGAGCCTTTAAAACAATTAAAATATAAAATTCAGGAAGGTTTCTTATGCAAGTGAGCAGATAAATCTTAAATAGCACTTTAATTCATCTGGGACAGATTTTCAAGGATGTTTATATCCTGTCAGTATGATGACTGCATTACTCATGAATCATGTAACACATGCTCCAGTGCATTCTCCTCACTATTATCTCCTAAAAAGTCAGATTTGTTTCCTGATAGTTTTTATAATGAATCTTTTGGGAAATTATACCATCTGTGCACTGCTGAATGTGTTATCTTCCAATATTGTTGTAAATGTTTGTTAGTTTACTCAGGGATGCTATTCAGAAAAACCCCAGGCTCCTTTTATAAATTTAAATCAGATGGGAAAGTGAGGTCCTTTCCTTTCCTTTCCCTTTCCCTTCCCTCCCCCCCCCTTTTTTTTTTAATTACGAAAAATTGACTAGGACTAAATCATATTCTTCAACTGGAAAATTCACTAAAGAATTGGCAAAATACTAAGAGCATAATAGAAAAACATGAGCATCCTGATCTCTATGGATCAGAAGCTGGTGAGGAGTCTGTGAGATGCACCTCCTTTGGGCAGGTGCAGGCAGAATCCAGGGGAGGTATGAAAACTTTTTACCTTTTTACCTTTTAACAATAAATACATTTCCCCCCCTAAAGTTTCATTGTATTGCTTTCATTGTTCATTTATGTATATTTTGATGCTGGATTTTTAAGGAAGGTTTCTGTACATTAATATTACACTAAAGGGAGTTGTGATGGCAAAATATTTAGGAATTCCTGTTATAAACCATGGAGAATAGAAAAGAAATGTTTCTTCTCATTTAAAAACAAGATTACATTAAATATTCTGGAACAAAGGAGCAGCTGTTCAAACTCAGGTACTTTAGCAAACATAATAGTGAATTAAATGCAAATACAACTGCAATTCTAACTTGCAATTTGAACTTTCTTGGCCACCAAAGACAAAAGGGCTGTCTAGAAAAGCTGACTTCAGGATACAGAATAACAGAGTTGGGGAATCCTCTAGTCCAGAGATCCCCAACCCCCCTGGCTGCAGCCCACTACTGGGCCTTGGGAATGGCAGGCGAATCTATACGTTCATCCCCACTTGCCTGAACAGCAGTCAAATGCGTGCATGTGTGCTCCATTTGTGCAAGTGGCAGGCGAACATGCCTGCCACTTGCACACACACACACGCTTGCCTTCACTCACGCGGAACCATCCCTTCTATCCCCCCCCCCAATGCTGGTCCACAAAGCTGGAAAGGTTGGGGAACTCTGTTCTAGTCCATCCCCTGCTCAAGCAGCAAACCCTATACCATTTCAGACATATGTCTGTCCAGTCTCTTTTTTAAAAAGCTTCCTGTGATCGAACACCCACAACTTCTGAAGGCAAGCCATTCCATTGGTTTATTGTTCTCACTGTCAGGAAATTTCTCATTAGCTCAATAGTTTCAGGGTATATTTGTTATGGTCATGTTCTAAACACAGTGGATTTTGTACTAGCCTTTGGTATAATGCTGAACTATACATCAATACAAGAAAGAGAATCCAGTCTAGATCCTGCCCTCTGTTCTTAAGATTTTTTTTATTAAAAAATTTAGTTTAGAGTTGCAAAGAAGACCCTTCTTGCCTGTTTCCTTGTACATGTACTATGACATAATGTTTGAAACTCTAGATTAAGACATAGCAAACTCCATTTTAATATTGGAAAGGACTAGAGCATTGCAAGCTTGCTGCGTAATGGCTAAGTTCCAGGAACTATGATACTTTTTAATATATTGTTTTAAAGATTTCTTTAATCAGATTGCAATTAAAATGATAAGTTCTCTCTGAATAAGGAATCATATATTAATCTGGATTGCTGATTACTCACAGCAACTAAATCCCAAGGGTAAGGACCTATTGAAAATGAACTTTCCTAAACTTGTAAACCCATCAGAGAAAGCAATCCTCAGTCTCATGCATTTGGTGGATGCTCTTTTGTTTTCTTCTGCTACATTAATCCAGAATACAGCAACATGTGATGTTGGCATTTGTATCCTTTTAAGGATTTTTTTTTGCCACAATGTTTTTTAATTCTCATGTTGTCAGCCAAGTCTAAGAGGGGAATGGTTTTTTCCCCTTGAGTCAATAAACTTTCTCATGGAGACAAAGTCAAAGTAGCTTCATGAAAACGTTTTATTTCAACCTTTTATCCAACATGAAAAATTTTTATTTCTACTTTTAGTTCAAAGGACCCTTTGCACAGAGCACTGGGTTGTGTGAAATAAACCTACCAAACAATTCACTAGACTTGCAATGTTTCTTAACAGTGGGAACTCTCAGAGCTGCTTCCCAGGTTTGTAAGCTTCAAATCCCAGAATTCCACTGCCAATATGGTCATTGATGAGAATTCTGAGAGTTGAAATCCACAAACCTGGGAAGTTACTAAGGTTGGGAAACACTGCACTAAAGAAAGTGAGATCCCTAGAAAATAGACTGAGGGAAGTGGAAGGTAAGGAATATCTAATTTTCTCTTTTGGCTCTGATAGAATTAAGGGTTAGATGGTCTTTGTCCAGATTATTTCACTCTATGGGAGCTATTTTCTGTGTAATTGTGATGCACAGGCAGAGGATATAACATCATAATATAAACACATTGGAGAAAAAAGAGGCAGTTTTCCTATGGAAACCTCCAAATACTTTATTTACATTTTAATTTGTATTAATGTAAGCAAGTTGTTTCCCTCTTAAAAGTCACACTTGTGTGATTTCATTTATGCAACCCATCTATGAGGGAGATAGGTGGTTTCAAAATTTGATAAAATAAAATAATGTTTCTGACGTTATATATACAGTCTACAATTTTAGGAGAAATATTTAAGGTAAAGTGTAATATTGTCTTTGGCTGATTCTATTTATTTATTTTTTGCAATGTCTTTGGGTCATGGAGATTCTTTGGAATAGAAAAAAAATATTGATGAACTAGACATGCATTCAAACAGCAGTTCCAATTTTAAAATCTTTAATTAATACATCATCATCATTTAAGTCCCTATAATTAAAGAGCATATAAGTATGTGTTTAAAATATCTTTAGGAACAGGATTTTTAGTAACCCGACTATTCAACTGGAGTTGTAATAGCTAGGAAAGCCCCAAATTTCTGAAGTTCTGTTGAGCAACAGACTGCTTCCTATGTCAGGGCAACTTTGCTCTAAGCTTATGTGACATGACATTTAACAAAGCCAAAATGTGATATAATTCTTTTAATGAAGCCCTGCTTAGGGTATAGCTTCAAGCTGCAATAGTGATTGCATCACTGGTTTTCATAAGCAGCCCTATGGAATACAGTTTGGCTTTGTTTCTCCTTCCGCTAATATACAGACTTTTATCCTGCTGTGATGGTAAGGTAATTAAAGGATTAAGTACACTTGGAAAAGCAATTTTCCCAATATGTTTGATAGATGTCAAGAAGGGGTAAAAGGAAGGAGTTGCGCTCCTTCAGGTTTCGGGGAATATTATTGGTTATAGCTGAGGTCAACTGGTGTCACTGCAACATTTGGAATATATATCAATGGAATGACATATGAAATATTAATTTTTGATTAATCCAGTTATGATATAAACCTGTGAGTGCTTATCACCCCTTTAGTCTTTTCAGATTATAATTCTACCAACTAAAAATAGTTATTTAGCTATGGAAAATAATAATTTAAAAATCATATTCTCATAGAGTTTAGGCTGTCTCAGCTAAATTTTAAGGGATTGCTTGTCTATGTCATGAATTGTGATTTGTTTCTATTACAGTTACTAGTCCAGTTTTCCAATCCCCAAATCCATAAACCTTATAGGTACCAGACCTCTTGGTGCATATTCCAATAAAGAAGTTTGCCCATCATACACATACTCTTTGTGAGTCTACAAACAATAGTCTTTCCTAATGAAGCTAAGTTTCTAAGTGTTGTCAAAACCTTAAAAAATTTGAATGATGTATTTCTTTGCATGTATTGAAAGCTTACCATTTTTGCAGACTGGACAACACTGTTCTGGCTCATAGACTGGGTTGACACATTCAGGGACGGCACAATCTGCTACAACACAGTGAACTTCATTGCTGGGCTCACAACGGCACCATTCACATGGCGAGGGCTGGGAACAAAGCTCAAATTAGCCCATTTCAACCCTTCTGATAGTTCAGTAAATAAAGATATTCTAATCTTGAGTTATACATTTCATTTTACTTATTCATTGCACATACAGTATTTGGATAATACAGTGTATGTATACTGTATAATGTTATAACTTGGCCTTCATTTTATACATAATTGTTTGGGGTTTAACACTTATTAAAGATTCTCATAAGGCTCCATAGCAATCTTTGTCCCTGCTGCTTTTTGTGATCATGGAAGCTTCTGACTTGTTAAAAGTCTAACAGCTCACATTATGTGGGACCAAACTTGCTTTTACTGTGTGTGTTTTAACACCTGAGGGCTACATTACTCTTCTACCAGCATTCCCATGCAACTAGCAGGAATGTCTTGCTGCTCCCAGCTAGAGATGACAATGAGTTTCAAAACTAATAGTCCCAGATACATCTATGAATTTATCAAATCCTTCTATGTTTGTGGCCATCAGCACATCTTTCAGGAATTAATTTCACTGGCTAATTGTGTACTGTATGAAGAAGTACTTTGGCCTGCACAAAATATTTGAAGGAAAATTTTGGACCTAGCATTCTGAGAGAGGAAGCAAAACGTCTTTCCATTCACTTTCTTCACACCATACACTTTGATCATGTCCCTACAGATAGTCTAAGATGATATACTGAGTCCACAGGATCTACTTCAAGGATCTCTGTAATTCTGTAAATAACCCCCCATCTCTGATCATTCCAAGGGCACATGGAACTGCAGACTCGAAGCTCTCATCCTACAACGCAGAAAGGCATATTATCTTTTATTTTTCATTGGAATTATGCTTTTATAAGTGCAGAGAGAATGCTGCTTTTGCCAAAATCAGTGCAAGGCTTTCAAAGAACAGTTTTAAAAAATGGAAATTGCAAACTTTTCAATGAAAAAGAATGAAGGTTTTAAGCTGTGTGTTGTTTATTATTTATTAATTAAAACTTTTAAAGAAAGTATCATAAAACATTTCTTAGAAACCTGTGCTGCAGTTATCCAAATATATTTTTTCAAAAACTTGGTTTTTTAAAGTCCCCATAACTTTGATGACATCCAGAACACAATTCTAATTAATTAATTTCTTTTGAAAAATGGGTTTAATTTAGCATCCATGAATCTGAACACTGTAAAGGGGGTATCCTTTAGAGCAGCATGTCAAACTGTTGGCCTGCTGGCTGGATGCGTCACGCTGAAACCGTGCCCATCCCATTGCTGGCAATGGGGAAAAAGTCACGATACATCGTGCGACATCAAGTGACGACATGAGTTTGACATGCCTGCTTTAGAGAATCCCAATGCATTTGATTTCTTTTATTATGATTGTGAAATCAATCAGTTTAACATTCCAGGAATACAAGATCATAAAGGGATAAATTCTTTATAACTTCATTGCTCTATCATATAGAAAGAAAAAGGGAAAAATGAACTATAATGGAAAGAAGTATTAAAAAGTGAGAGCAAAAAGCATAGCATTATATATATATGTAAAAAGTAGACCTCAGATTAAACCATAGTCTGATGGAAAATATTAGATTTTTCTCCATGTGGGTGTGATACAACCTACACTAAGTAAAGGAAACATATTTCATTACTCCACATTTTAAAAACGTGACATTAAAAAAAACCTATACTCACTGAAGTGTAAATCTATATTTTTCATATGTTGTTAAGTCTAAGATTTGAAGGGATAATAGTATTTCTGCTCATGAATATTAACAAAGAAGTAAAAAGGAAAGGAGAAATAAAGACAATGGGTTGACAGCAAAGGAATAAGAATGTCTATCTTCCTTATGTTAGAATTCAAATTCTATTCTCTTTCCTTTTTTGGGAAATGACAGCTTACACTGTATCTTTTGTTTGTGCATTTGTACAGGCTTCTGCTAACATGGATTTGGAATCACTTTGCAGTATATGTTTGTTCATACAGGTTTTAGAGTCTACTACAAGGCAGTTATTACTGCAATGGATTGTTGTAGCTATTGGAAGAAAACACCATTACACAAACAATTCTTTTGGGGGGAAATGATAACTGCTGCATCCAAAGCCCAGGGATATAATTTCCCTTCAAATTTTTTTCTTTTCCCTCACAGGTAAATCCCACTTTGTTTTATGGAAACTTGATGACACATGGATTCAAGATACACCAAGATACAATGTAATGTAATGTAATGTAATGTCTTCCTTAAAAAACTAGAGGAAATTATGTATGGCAGATTTGCCTCAGGAACATTAAGGATTTTTCTAAAAGAATGGATAGAAATCTTTGTATTTCATAGTATAGCAGCCAACATAATTACTTTGCTTTACTTTGAAATAAAAAGCAGGGATTACTATCTGAATTCCCTTGAATAAAAACATTCAAACAAGTCTCCAAATTGCACTAGGTAATTCATACAATTAATTTAAAGGAATGCTTTCCAAAATAATAAACCCTGGAACTAAATATCTCAATATTTGAAAGAGTGGCTTTGTTCTGTTTACTGATTGCTAATTGTTTATTTCCAAACACCAAGCCTCAACTTTTCCTTTTGACAATGCTTGGCTAATCATTATTCTTCTATGTCAGCACTCAGGAGAAGACATATTTTTCATTACAAATTCTGAATGGTTTTGCAAACTAATCCTGATTTCTTGTAAGCAAAAAGACTTGCAATTAAATTCAGAAATGCTCTCAGTTTCTCATGAATTGATTCCCCAAATCCTCATGTCAACCCTAAAATTAGCTGCAGTATTTAAAGCTTCTCCAACTTTTTCTCACTATTAGCAGTTTGCAATCCTTATTTTCACTTAGTTTCCATGTAACCTTTGCAGTTCAGATAAATATTTGTTCTCCTTATATTAAAAGGAAATTCTATGTGTTTAGCTTACCCAATTGTCATTCCATCTTCATGGAGCTTCATCTATTTGTTTTTGGTTTTAAGCACTAATAAGGAAGTAATATGCTGGTTTATGACTATGTCCCTCAAATATTTTAAGTTATTCATTGTTTTATAATGCAAAGGGATTGGCTTATTTGCCTGTCCCATAGGATCTGCTTTTCACCCTCATATAACAATTTTTGAAAATATCAGGAGATGTACCAGCCCTTTCCAGTAAGGGCTATGATCTAGTGGTTATATATTGCAGGTAGAAAAGCATCAAGGGAAACAATGACACCGAATGATTTGCTCTGAGTAAATGAGACATGACAGATATGGGGTTTTTTGGTTCTGCAGTATGATATCTGAAAATAACCCAGAAGAGAAAAATGTTTTTTTATGACATTGAAAGCAATTGTCAAGAAGAAAGAAAATCATACCATTCTAACTTTTGAGGAACTTTTTAAATCTCAAAGATCAGTTTTGATTTTTGTCTTTTGTTTTTTGGAAACACACTATATTTCTCCTATTATATTCGGGGGTGCGATTTTGTGGGCTATATGTACTATTGATTGTATCTTAGAAAGTATCTCTATTGAATGTGTGTTCTGAATAGGCAAAGAGCAGAAAGAACTTTTAGGTAAACAGGGCAGGTACCCTTGTCCTCCATATTCCTGTCTAAAGAAAGAGCACAAAAAGTTTGATACCAGGAAAAGAATGGTAGGAATAAACCCTGAAGGATGACATACACATACTCCCTTACTTGCACCAAGCTGGATTTTCAGATTCTGTAGTAGTAGTGTAGATATATGTACACTGGTTTGATCTAACTGCTGATCCTTGAAGATTCTGCTATTAGCTAGTAATTTGGTATAGGGCAGGGTGTCAAACTGCTGGCCCATGGGCCGGATGCATCATAGCAAAACTGCACCCCCCCCAATTGCCGGCAATGGGAAAAAAGACGCAATATGTTGCGACACGTCACATGACGTTGAAAGTTTGATACGCCTGGTATTGGGGATCATGAAGCAGGCTACTAATGGTTTTCAAGATTTCCTACCACTGACTTGGTTCCCATTATACAACTTACAGTGTTAAGGTGCTGCCAGTTGACTGAGAGAGCCATCAAAATTCATTTCTCATTGAGCATTGAATAGTGCATAACCCAATATAATTAATTATGGAGTCTAAGCATAGGGTATTTTTATCTGTGGCTCAAAAGCTGATATGATTTCATAGTAACCCTCTGACAGATGAATTCTAATTCATACCATCAGCTTGAATGATTGTGATTCTTCAGATCAAATTGCTTATTGAAGACTGATTTCAGATGTGAATTAGATTTTGATTGATTTGATTGTATTGCAGTAACCAATGAATGACCAGTTTAAGGCACCAAGCTAGAAACCAGCTTGGGCCAGCCACTCTCTATTAGCTCTAGAAAAAAGCAAGAGAAACCATTTCCAAAAATCTTGCCAAGAAAACTACAACGGGACTAATCTAGGTAGTTGCCAGGAGTCAAGTCTGGTGTAAAAGCACAAAACAAACAAAACCCCCTACACATTTAATGAATGAAAGCTCTAGAAAACTGGGCACCAAGAAGTGAAATTATAACTCAATAAGAAGAGGTATCATGGGAATAAGCCCAATGCACATGCCAATTCAATGCAGTTTTATCTTTGGTTTCTACCAGAAGGCATTCTATAATATAAAATCATATCATATAAATAAAACCCTGCCTTAAACCAAATTTTAAATGAAAGACAATGCAATGGATCTATCGGGTGCATTTACAACAGAATTTACAAGAAGAATAAGATAGTCATGGACTATGGACTAATAGTGTTGTAATTTTCAAAATATGTGCTATGTATATATTCATACCCACTGAAAATACAAAGTATACCTGTACTAAATGTAAACCAATTGAAAGACTTGAGGAAAAAATTAAGGGTATAGAGGAAGAAGCAAAGGGTCTAAAGAAAAGTCTAGCCACTCTGAGACTCAAACAACAAAATGAGAAACCCCAAATTAAGGAAAAAGACTGTAAACAAACTGAACACAATAAGGAACAATTAACTACCAGAAAAAATGAATCTTTAAGATTCAT